TTTTTCTGTTCTTGACACGAGGAAAAAAATCAACTCGAATGGAGCTTCGACTCCAACTGTGAAAACAACAACAGCAACAATAAGAACTACAAGAGAGACAAAAAAATATTAGCAACAACTACAACAACTTTGGTGTATATCTTTCGCGGAAAACGCCTTCTTCGATGATGATAATATATCTCTTTTTTGATTGGGGAGATGGTCGTCTGTCGATGGTAAAACCCTTCTCATTAAATCAAAGTGAGGAGAACATATACCTGTTTTGATCAGGGTGATGTCAGTCTTTCGAAGACAACGCCCTAAACTTCTTTAATAAAAATCGATAACAATATATCCCTGTTTTGATAGCCGTCTGTCGATGGCAAACCCCTTCTCTTTAGATCAAAATCAGAACAACATACACTCGTCTTGACCAGGGAGACGTCCGTCTTTCGATGACAACGCCCTTCTTCCTTGATAAAAATCAATAACAATATATCACTGTATTCATCGTGAAGATGTCTGTCTTTCAATGACAACACCCCTTCTTAGATGAAATGAATAGCAACGCTTGTTTTTTTACTATTACCGGCAATGAAGTTAGCATCTATCTAAGTTTTAAGTTTCAATTTCGAGGAAGAAAACCTTCTTGGGGCAAATGTCAGAATGGTATTATGACGTCCACCATGGATGACTTGGTGCATTGCTCGTGGCAAGCAGATCGATCGAGTGTCAGCTCAATGAAGACAAATCGATCTTTCCTATAAGCGTCTTGTAATTGCTGCACATGGAGAGAAGGTTTTCCGCGAAAAGAACGAAAATGTCAGAAGCGATCAGATTCGTAAGAGAATAGCCAGGACACCGAGAGGAATTAATTGAAAATGATTATAATAACGACAAAAGGAAGGAAAGACAGCACAGAGGAAAGGATGACATGAAAGTGAACATTTAATAATAATAATAATAAATATCATAGGACTCGTGAAAAAAAAAAAAAACGTCGGGATTTATTTACGTGCGGTTCAAGGCATCTGCTTCGGATCAATGCCCATGCCTGTGCACGTTGATAAAAATGGTAGACGCATGCGCACACATTATAAGAGCCGTCAGTTGCCAATCTGTTCATCTTCGTCCGACTATAGAATTGGGAAAATCAAGAGAGAGGTGAAAGTGAAAAAGAAGTTGCTGTATTAGTAAAGGGAGGCACGGTGGAGTAATGGATAGCGGCTTGGATTGAGGAATCGTATAGCCGAGTTCGAATTCCAGTCGAATCCATTACATTCACTTACGTGCTAATACCCTTGCGAAAGGTGTGAATCTTCTTTCTTCTCCCTCCAGCTATGGGTAAATAGCAGGACAGACCGGGTTCTATAGCCTTGGGTGGCAACTGGTCTAGGAGAAGGAAAACTTTGAATTCAAACCTGCTCTTAGATGAGGGCGAATGGGGTCTCTCTGAGCCTTGGTTGGCAATCCATTTAGTGTTGGTCTCACGATAAAAAACACCCTTGATAGTCTTGGCGAAGAATCAAGAATTCAGTTATTTGACAAGATTATGAACTACACCAATCAAATATTAGTGAGTTCAATCTCGGCTGAGGCCGCAAGATGATGATGATGATTAGTAAATAAAGAGTAAGCTAGAGAAAAATGAGAAGAAAAGCGAGAGAGAAAAAAAGGAAGTATAGCAGATATTAGAAAGACTTCTCGAGTTTTATGACTATTTTTCCCATTGAATATATTAAATTGGGTCAACCTTTATTTAATATTACATACATTTGAAGCGTGACGTACACCTTACGTTGGAAGGTAGGTATACGATACGATAGACAAAAAGTTTAGGGATTACAGTAGATTTATTTAAAGGAACACCTTAAAATGATATAATTCTGTATTTTCTTAAAGTAAAAAAATAAAATTTCAATAACTACAGTGTATTTTGACAAATAATAAGCACTTAACTATAAAACTATAAAAAAAATTAGCATACATAGCGTCGTATTTTGTTTTCATCAACAAAACCACCACTTACCTTAATTACTTGACATTATTTCCAACAATTTTTGAAAAGAAAGTAGATAGCCAACTTTCCCAAGCATTCTTCAAGCACTGAAAAAGCTCACTCTCATTCATGGGATATTCTCTTCGAACTCTACTATCAAATTCATCCCATACTAATTCAATGGGAGATAGGTAAGGAGAATGAGGAGGGCAAGTCATAATTTCCAAAGTTTTTTTTTTATTAGCTGGAATTTTGACATAATTTAGAAGAGTTTCTTGGATCGTTGTCTTCTTGAAAGGTGATTTTTTTTAAAATTATGCATAAAGCAGATGGCATACCATGTTTTTGCAAAATTTTAGTGATTCCTTTATCTGAATCAAATCTACAACAATCTCACCCCCAAGTGCCACCGCACCATAATAGACCCACCACCATGCTTAACTGTTAACACCTTTACTATTCAATCTTTCTCCGAGCTTTCTTCTCACATACGTTTTCCTCTTACTATCAAAACGTTCAAAATTTGCCTATATTTAAATGTCCAGTTCTTAAGCATTTTTGCCCATAATAGTCTTTTTTGCCTATTCATTTTCCGTAACAGGAGTTTCTTGTTGGATATGCACCCCTTGCAACGCGCTCAACTAAGTCAGTTTTTCAGTCGGTGGAAATTAAATTCGGCTGTCAACTCTGTATCGGGTTTCTTTTTTTTTATTTCTTTTGCTCTCAATAATCAAATGTTTATTTTCAACACCAGTTGCCACTTTTGGTTTGGTTTGGTTTGTTTTACGGTATATCAACCTCAGTGGGTTATTTAATGCCGACAAAATTTTCATTGTTTTTTTTTAAAAAATGTATTACTGGTAATATTTTTTTTTCAAAAATCTATTGCTGTTAATATTTTTCTTTTTCAAATATGTATTGCTGGTAATAATTTTCCAAGAAAAATGTATTGCTGGTATTAAAACCTATTTTTATACTTTCATAGTATTTTGACCCATTTGGGTGGTGGTTAGTTGTCCATAGCTGCGATCCTGACAAGTACTACCACATCTGGTCAGGGTGAACCTGGAACCACCAGCAATTAAGAGGTTGTTCCATGCTCCTCAAATCCTCCTGATCAAAGGCCTTGCCGTGGGATGTATTTTATAGTCTTACCCAGGACGCGGATGTAGTTTGTTTCGTTGCTTGAACTCTTTCTCCATCAACATTTGCGCCTGTTTCTTACGAATATTGCACCTACTGTCAAGAAATCTTCAACTTCTTGTTAATTGGTCTATGGGAGCAGCCTTTTTTGAATAAAATTTCAATTTGTGCCCTCACCTGAATGCTTTGATACCTTGAGTTTTCCATTTTGAGCAAATTCGTTCCAAATTTAAATAAAATATAGACAAAAAGAACATGAACATAGTGTCGTAATGATACAATCTTTTATTTCTTCAACGACAGCTACATGCATTTTGTTTACAACATTTGTTAGTACTGAGATAACATTAAGGACCTATATTAACATTTAACTTAGTTGAACATTTTGGTAATCTCAAAAAGTCTACCGAGGGATTAATGGTGATAACAAAATATGTTTCTCGTACAAATATTCGTAATTTAGCAAAATGTATTGCGCACAGACGAATTCAAATTTGAACTTTTTGGTAGTAAGAGGATCCTGAAGAAGGACTGGAAAATAGAAGTAAATACACTGTAAATAGCTGAAATTTTATATTTTACTTAAAAAAAAAAATACAATAATCTCTCATTTTCATGTTTTTTTAAAGAAACTACAGGGTCACCCCAAACATGCCTAGACATTGTTTTTAGAGACCACAAACAAAAAATAGCTTCCTTATCGATATGACAGTCCCTGCAGACTGCAATGTATCTTTGAAGATCTTCAAAAAGCTATCAAAATACAAGGACCTTGAAATCGAAATCTCAAAAATGTAACACATGAGAACATCAACAATCCCTGTTGTAGTTGGAGCCTTCGGATTGACTGGGAAAGATTCCTGTAGACTAATTGAAGGGATTCCTGGAAGCCCATGACTTAAAGAAATACAAAAAAATTGTTCTCGCGAGTACAGCCCACACCGTAAGGGCTTTATCTATGTAAAATATGATTTTTTTTTTATTGCTCAGTGGAAAATGTCATAATGCCATTTCTGTCCTTAGGTCTCTGCGCGGGACCCGGAAAGAAATGAGTACACATCAGAAATCAAAGGATATAAAATAATAATAATAATAATAATAATAAAAGATTCCAATAGATTCATTGAAGGGATTCCTGGAAGCCCATTACTTAAAAAAATACAAAAAAATTGTTCTCATGAGTATAGCCCACACGTTACGAAGGGCTTTATCGGTGTTTTTTTTTTTTTTTTTTAAATGCTCAGTGGAAAATGTCATGATGCCATTTCTGACCTTAAGTCTCTGGGTGGGACCCGTAAAGAAATGTACACACCAGAATCAAAGAAAAGAAAATAATAATAATAATAATAATAATAATAACAACAAGCATGCCCTCTTGAGGCTGATCCACTGTGCATCTGTTTATGAGCAGTAGTGGAGCGCCATTATGCGCAGATGTCGTGATGTTTTTTTTTGTTTTTTACATTTGTTTGACGTATGAATGAAGCAAAAGAGAGTTCCATCCAGAAATTTGCGACCCCCCTCAGTGAGAGACCATCTGAACACACTGTGTTACTCAATTTGAAGGGATTTACAATTGGGCCCCATTTAAAAAGCTTTTATTGAAGTTTGTCGCTATATCGTACACATTTAGCTGCGATTCGTTGACATAGTGTGTCCTTATCAGATTGTGCTTCCTGGTAGGTGTATTAAGATTTCTGTATTCATACCCCAGCGTCACATTATTGGCGTGCTGCATCTCTCTCTCTCAATAATAATAATAATGACCCTGATGCTATACCAAACATAGTTCTTATAAATTCTGATTTTAATTGGAACTATTAACATGTACATACTTTGGGTGAATTAAGATTGACTGCAGTATATTACCCGTTCATCTCTAACATAATAATAAGAAGAAGAGGAAGAAGAAGGAGATGGTGGGAAGAAGAAGAAGAAGGAGGAGGACATGATGGGAGGAAGAAGAAGAAGAAGAAGAAGAAGAAGAAGAAGGAGGACATGGTGGGAAGAAGAAGAAGGAGGAGATGGTGGGAAGAAGAAGAGGAAGAAGGAGGAGATGGTGGGAAGAAGAAGAAGAAGGAGGAGGAGATGGTGGGAAGAAGAAGAAGAAGAAGAAGGAGGAGGACATGGTGGGAAGAAGAAGGAGGAGGACATGGTGGGAAGAAGAAGAAGGAGGACATGGTGGGAAGAAGAAGAAGGAGGAGGACATGGTGGGAAGAAGAAGAAGAAGAAGGAGGACATGGTGGGAAGAAGAAGAAGGAGGAGGACATGGTGGGAAGAAGAAGAAGAAGAAGGAGGACATGGTGGGAAGAAGAAGAAGAAGAAGAAGAAGAAGAAGATGGAGATGGTGGGAAGAAGAAGAAGAAGGAAAAAAAAGAAAGAAACGGAATCCCTTATCTTTACACCCTAGAACAAATGTATAAAAATATGAATAGTGAAACGTTATACTTCTGCATATCGGAATAAATACATAACAACAAAAGATAGGTTTGCCCATCGTCCGGTTCTCTTGTTTCCTGTTTAGGATTGAATTTCCGGTTACTTCTAAAGTCTTCGAGAGTAAGTAATAAAGGAAAGTGGGACTAAAAAAGGATGCTTATCGTAAGAAGTCAGAAGGTTAGGGTTGTTAGCAAGATGGTAAATGCGAATTGGAGATGTCGAAACCAAACCAGGACAGGAATTTAAATATCTGGGAATAGTTTTCCAAGACGACAGCAAACGTGATACCAAAATTCGAACGCGCATTGGAATAGCGAAAGATATCTCCCAAAAGCTGAGCAACGTATTATGAAGGTATCTCTAAATATTCACTAAAAATTGAGCATACTATGATGAAAAAATACCCCAAACTTTATAAGAAACAAAGTTTTATCATCAAAATCTTTGTGTTATTATTAAGAGGAAAGATCAAAGCATTTATTGTCGGAAAAAAATATTTTTTATCCTTTTCAGAATCTTCGAAATTTGGCTTAAAAATATTTTTATGGTGACAACATGGGACCATAAATATGTTCGGGGAATTTGAGTGTCTTTTGGCGGTGAAAAACAAATTGATTTGGAAATTCTTGCGAAACTCAGATAATTATCAGATTTTAAGGAAACTTTCAGGACTTATTCACATATGAATGAAATTATTTTTAAAACGTTTATTTTTTTTTAGAAAACCCTTGTAAAAATATTTTTATATCTGTTACCCGCCGTCACTTTCCAGAAATTCTATGCCGTAACGCTTAAGGTTTATATTCATTGTAAGAACAAGTCCTTGGAGAAGTTAAATCATCAAATTTCTTTGGCCAAAAAGGACAATTTCCCGAACACCATGCTGTCGAGGTGTGTGTCAGAACCTTTCAGAAGAACCCACTCCCGTATTAAAATGTTTTTCTGCAATATTTTAAAACAAATGTAATTGATTCCATTCAGAATGATCAAAATTTAAATCATTTAATTTTTTCTCAAATAAAATTTCAGAAAAGTATATTTCATTTTTGAAAAAAAAATTCGATAAAGAAAAATATGTTGTGTTAACAAATTTGTCAATATGGTGGATTTCATCGATTTTAATGATCGTCAAAAAAAAAAAAAAAATCATTCCAATCAATTTAAATTCGGTTTGAAATACAGAAAAGTATTTTGCTTACTGCAAATATTAAATTTAATTTATTTTCCAAATTAAAACTGATATAAAATCTTCAGGGAAGATTTTTCATTTTTCTTTAATCAATTTGAAACCATAGGTATCACATTTTTTTGGAAATAGCTAGTATTAAGAAACAAGAAAAAAATCGTTAAAATAAAAGAAAAGGGTGCTGGACTGCTTTGTAATATCAATCCTATATGGCAGTGAATGCTGGACAGTCTTACAGATAAAGAAGAGACAAGAGAAATGTGGTTCTACAGAAGGATGGTGTATTTACTATGGACGGATCATGTAAGCACCGAGCAAGTTTTAACGAAAACAGGAACAGAAAGAACACTTATACTTAGGTATGGCTGTGGCAGTTAATTGAAACGCTAAAATAAAAGAACGAAATTAATTTCGATAACCAAGTAAAAGGTGAACATGCACTGTCTCACGCAAAAATGAATTGAGAATGACATTGTTAGGCTTTGCGTTGCTACTGATGATGGTGCTGATCGTAAAGTGAAGATAAAATAAAGGAACTATTTTGAAAAAAAATAGCATTTCGGTAGCTTTAAGACAATGTGAACATCAAGCTAGATACGGTCCCAGTAATAGCGGGAAGAATAGGAATCATGCACTGTCACCCGTAAAAAAAAAAAAAAACCAATACCCACCCAAAAAAAAACCAACAAAAAAACAAAACAAAACAAAAAAAACGGAAAAAAAATAAATAAAAAAAAAAAAAAAAAAAAAACAAAAAAAAAAAAAACAGAATTGAGAATGATATCTTGTTAATTTAAGTGGTTATCCGAGTTTGTGTAGACGCCCAGTGTTTGTTTTTTTTTTTAATTACATTGAATTAAATTACGTTTACCTCCTGTGCATTCGTGAGTCTTATTAAAGAAAATGTTACATACAGCCGGGTTCGAACTTGCATCACTCTTTGTCAGGAAAACCACACTGGTTTCCCCTACAATGGATAATGCAGATTCGCATCAGATTGAGGAGGTCTTTTTGAAGGCCGCCATTTAAACTTGGTTGGCCCATTATACTTTTCCACGCCGATAAACTTCACGCCTTTAAGTACAGGCAAGCACTTAGACGTAGTGAAATGGTTAACGATCTTATTAAAAAAAAAAATCAAAAACAAAAACATCCCAAATACATTCTTTTCTGACACAATAGGGTTTCTATGAGCAAAATGGAAACAAAATGCTGATGTTATTACTTCAGAAAAGCATTTACATCTATTTTACCACAGACCGGAAATCAGTCAGTCACATAAGTGCCATACGCGGTCCACGCTTGGGCGATCATGTCTCTTATTATTCATGACTGACTGGACAGAAGATATTACTGTATTAGGTTGCAATTTCTTTCCGCCGTAGACTGGTTGCCAATCTCGGCTTTAGGACCCAGTCTGTCCTGCTATTCGACCCATTACTGGGAGGAGAAGTGATGGATTCATGCCTTTACAAAGAGTATTTGCGCGTAAGTGAATGTAATGAACGCGACTGGAATTCGAACTCGGCTCACCATTATACCACAACGCATATCAAGTCATTGAAAATCAGGAAAAAAATGGATTTTAGGTGACAGAAATGAGTACACGTGTTACTGACAGAACAGAACTATTAAATGTCTAATCTTAAATTATTGTCAATCATTGTGCTATATAAACTCGTTAAAAAAGAATACAAGGTGGTCAGAAATTAATGCAAGCATTAATGAGAGAACGTATATTATTATTATTAATTAAAACCCATTAACATAATACTAATTGTCCTCAAAATCACCTTTAGTAATTTTATCATCATCTAAAGTCACAGGAAAAAAAGAAGAGACTTGAAGCAATAGAAATGTGGTTAATCAGAAGGATGTTGAGGATACCATGGACTGAACATGTGAGCAACGACAAACTTTTTAGAGAAAAATGGAAACAAAAAGGAAATATACTTAACACCGGGAAGAGGTAGTTGAAATTTCTAGGGCATATAATGAAGAAAGAGGGCTTGGAAAATCTAATACTCACAGGAGAGACTGAAAGCAAGTAGGCTGAAAAAGAAATGCATAACATCAATTGTTTTAACCAAGAACGTCTGAGTGTTTAAGCTGGATCAACAGTTAGTACATTAGTCTTTTATAATCTTTAGTAGTAATAATAAGAATTGTGACAACTGTCTTTCCTTCTCACTATATATATATATATATATATATATATATATATATATATATATATATTATTTTAAAAAAAATATGATTCCTTCGCTACATAAGAGTTCTCATATTTCAAAAACGAGAGCCGAAACCCTCAATATAATTATTAAAATTAAATTGAATTAAAGTAACAAGCCCTGTTTCATCCTCAAGCGAAAATTTAGGAATAACCAATCTTGAAATTTACGCATCGTTATAAGCATGTTCATTCGTTACTATGGAAACGGCCGGGGCGAGCATTCTTGATAAGGGGCCTAAGATTTAACTTTTATCCACATATCAGTCACCTTCAGGAAGAGGTCAAGCTGAGGTAGGGTGGGGTGTCTATTTCAAAGCGAATGGTGTCTTTCTTGCACGCGCATCGTCTGTTCATTCACAGAGAAAGATAGATTTTGGCACCATGGTATGTTGTTAAGTGTTTGGATAATTTTGTTTGTTATTCCTAAATTTTCGCTTGAGGATGAAACAGGGCTTGTTACTTTAATTCAAGTTAATTTTAATAATTATATTGATGGTTTCGCCTCCTGTTTTTGAAACATGAGAACTCTTATGTAGCGAAGGAATCATATTTTAAAAAAAAATAATTATAATCTAAGCTCTACTTCTGTATGGAGCACTGTTTTTTAAAAGTAAAAACAAAAATACTAAAGAACCCTGGATTATTTACCTAACGTGTTCTTTCCTATTTTTCTACATACCTGCACACACACACACACACACATATATATCGTTTATTTTAGGATATTGCATCAAAAACATATCAAAATCGCTACACAATTGCAGTCGTGTTTCAATGCGATTAGAAAATAACTCACCAGTCACCAGGCAATTGCAAATTACTGGCGAGTGAACGAAACAAGTACAAAAACTTAAATATCTGCGAAGTGTTTTAACAGAGTACAGTGCGACATTGAAATCTGAAGGCACAACTGAGATAGTCTAAGATGCATTTCACAAACTAAGCAGAGTATTAAAAAACAAAACCAAAAAAAATTGTTAGAAACAAAGAAAATAGTACTAAACTTATGTGATATCAGCTTTCCTATATGAATGCAAGACAATTTCCTCAAAGATGAAGAAGAGACTTCAAGCAACAGAAAATGGTTCTACGAAAGGATGATGAGGATACGATGGACTGAACATGTGAGAAATGACAAAGTTTTTAGAGAAAAAAAGGAAACAAAAAGGAAACTTATACTTAACACAAGGAAGAGACGACTGAAACTTCTAGGACACATAATGAGGAAAAACGGTTTAGCAAAACTGATACTCACAAGACAGATTGAAGACAAGAGGGACAGAGAAAAACAATGCATAACATACTTAGCAAGAGATCAATTACGACTATGTCTTGAGTTCGATCCTCCCTAAATGCTCCACACTTTCGGTCTTGTGCCACATCTAAGCTGTCAGTCAGTTATACGCCATGCGGGATACATGCTTAAGCGATCATATAGTTTTCGATACATAACTGACGAGGCAGATTTTTTTTCCCGCAGTAGGTTGCCGTTTCTTTCTGTGGTAGACCAGTTTCCATCCAAAGCTACAGAACCCGGTCTGTCCTACTATTTACCCGTAAGTGGGTGGAGAAGAAGAGGATTCATACCTTTCCCAAGGGTATTAGCACGTAAATGAATGTACCGGATTTGAACTCAGGT